TTTCTTGAGAGTAGTGAGAGAATCTTGCAAAAGTCCAAAAAGTTAGTTTGTACAGAAAATTTTTCGTACATTTTTATTATTGCAATCCGAAACTACATAGAAGTTGGAACTTTTATTGATATATGAACTTTTAAATCATAATTTACTTTAATTTTTGTCTTCCAATAAGGAAGCTAAAGTTTTGTTTTTCTATCATCATCAGTTTTAGAAAAATCGATTTTTTACGAAAGCATCTTTTACTATGACAAGCAGCTCTTTGAAAAAATGCTTTTTATTTCAAGCTACAGTTTAGAGCGATATCACATTTTGTAAAAATTGTTCGCTCTACAAAATAACTTACTTAGACAACTTTAAGCATCATCAGAAAGGAACTCATCCAAGTTAGTAAAAATCGATTTTTACGCCATCCTAAACCAATTTTTCCACCTTTCAAAGACTTTCCTCTCTTCTCTCGAACAAAGGGGAACATAGAATTTCTGAGCTCATGTTCGGAAAGAGCATAGAATTTCGCATCTTACTAACTATTTTAAACTCTCACCAATTGCTTTTAAGAGGCTCAAAACTAAGTGAATATTTTGTATCAAGACATTTTACACATAAGTTATTATTCTTGTGCGTGATCCAATATATTAAGAAATCAAACCTTGATTGAAGTGAATGAAAAACATGAAGAAAAATGCGCCGATAGCATTATCTTCATTGCATGATTGGACAACAAAATTTCAAAATTTTTCTACTGCTAACCTCATCAAACCAAAAAATCTTCTACCGTTCTCCTCATCGTTACGTTTCCTTTTTATCCTCCTTCGCAATGACGTATGATGTAAATAAACGTTTCACCAATATTATGAAAGAACAAAATAAAATGGCTACATTGAAAAATATTGTCCTCAGTATGTTGATAGTGATGTCAGGGAAGAATATGAAACGCAATATGTTTGGTATTTTTGAAATAACCAAATATCAATGAAAACAAAAATTGTAAAATTCTAGTTTTTAGATTTTTTACTTTGTTGAATAACTTTGATTTGATCTATTAATGGATGTTAATCGTGACAGTAAGTAATTTTAAAATTAAAATAATTTTATATTAATAATTATTATTCATTTAGATTTTTATGATATTTTACCAGAAATTTTAAAGGATATTAATAATGCTGATTATGTAGCAGTTGATGGTGAATTTACAGGAATATTAAGATTTAATAATATGAGTCGTTTTGATACTCCAGCTGAACGATACAAACGTCATTATGAAGTATAAATTTCTAATTTTTTTTTGTGTTCGTTCATATTAATGTTTAAGAATTTTTCAATTATTTATTCCAGTATGATAGACATTATTTAATGATTCAAATTGGTCTTGCAATGATCCAATGTACGAATCAAAGAGAAAATCGGTAAATAAAAAGCAAGATTTATTTTCATATGATTCTTTGTTTTTTATTTTAGATATGCATTAAAAGCTTATAATTTTTATTTATTTTCTGAAAATGAAACCGATGCATTTGAGTTTCGATCAAAAGTAAAATTAAATAAAATTTTCAACAACAAACTATTTCTGGTTAATTATAGAGTTCATCATTGCAATTTTTAGCAGCTAATCATTTTGATTTTGCTCAATTATTTCTTAAAGGTAATCTTATATATATATATATAGATAATGTCGAATGTATGTCTGATCCCAATCTGATCGACTTATAGAAATAATCGAGCAGATTTCTGGAAAGATTTTCTCTTTTAATCTCTTTGAACCATAAAAGTTTGTAGTGGCTAACCATGAGTTTTCAATATGCTCTGCTAATAGACTAACATAAACCCAGATTTTACGCAGAGTATAAGAGAAAACAACGTTTCTGAAATTTGATTGATCCAAAGAAACCAATCAATTAGATTTCAAGAATGGACTGTTTTTGTAATGTCCAGGTGAAACATAGGTTCATCTTCATTAACCAGGAGTTTGCAATGTTCTCTGTCAGTTCGTAAAGACAAGTCTATTCTTCATGTAGAATAAAAGCCGGCTTATTTGTCCAGCAGCTCCATTGCTTGAAACAAAGAAGTCACTACATTTGAGCAAAAGTGCTCTGATAGAAATGTCCAATGTTCGTCTGTTTTTCCGTCAATGATCATGCTCAGGAGTCTAGAGTTAAGATTAAGAAATTAAAAAAGAAACACAGGAGTACAATGTGTACAGAAGCTCGCTATTTCTAATATATTCATATCATATTCATATGTTTTTCTTTTCAGGAATTCCTTTCGTTTGCAAAACAAAATATTTAGAAACATTAAAAAGTTCTCAACTATCATCATCAAATGATAATAATCTTCAAATATCGAATGGTATTACCATTAATAAAAAGTAAAAGATTTTAAATGATCATATAAATAAATAAAGCTTTTTTTTTTCAATTATTATAGAAGAAAACCTGAAGCAACAACAAATTCAGTACAAGAACAACTTGAATCCAGTAATGCGTCCAACGCAGAGTCATTAAAAAATCCAATGATCGGATTTTCAGAAGTTATGTGGTACGTTTGTAATTCTTTTTTGTATTATTTAAAGTATTTGTTTTTCTTTTTAGGAAACTACAAGAGTCTGTAAGTGATTTTGTTAGGATAAATAATCATTAAGAACTATGTCTTAAAACAACATCTTTTCTACTTTGAAGCATTCAGACCGACTCCTTCTTTGCTATAGTTCGAGTAGAGGCATGAAATATGTCTCTATTCTTATATCATTGAGTGAAATTTCCTTGATATTGGCGTACCAAGATTTGAATTTCGATAAATGAAAACGTAAAAAAGCTTCTTTTTTTGAACTTATTTGCT